AAAGGGAAAATCTCACCTACACCGAGAACCTCACACACCTCCAGGTACCTGCTTCAACGGCCGCCATAAGGGCCAGGAACCCTGCAACCTAGCTTTCTCTTACGTGATCACGGTCCATGCAGAGCAAATAAGCCTGGCTTTGTCCTCACGGGGCCTACATAAATTTCTCTTTTAAAATGTATAGTCACATGTCACATAAAAGCAGTTTCAAGAAATACGTCATTGTGTCCGTAGGTGATTTCCCCATGCAAATGTCACAGAAAGTTCTCAAACTAAGGAGGCTCTGGTTCCATTAGGTGGCTTAATGGGGACCTCAGTTATAAACGGAGTTTGTCAGTGACTAAAGCATTGTTATATAGCATAAGGCTTATTTTAGAGTGATTATTTTTTGGGAGGGGACTCCACAGGGTCTCACTATGGTGGTTTGAAACTTGCTATGTAGACTAGTCTCATAAAAAAATGAGCCATTTGTAGGGCGGTGGTAGCTAGCTCACAGAGGCAGAGGCAGGTGGGTCCCTGCCACTTCAAGGCCAGCCTGGTGTGTATAGTGAGTTCCAGGACAGCCAAGGTTGTCACACAGGGAAACCCTGTCTCAAAAACAAAGAAACAAACCAACCAACCAAAGTGAGCCACCTGAAGGAAAACACTAAAGAGATGACAGGAGGGGCTGGAGAGATGGCTCAGCAGGTAAGAGCCATGTTAGTCTCGAAAAGGACTCAGGTTCGGTTCCCAGTACCCACACGGTAGCCCATAACCACCCAAACTCCAGTTCCAAGGGATCCAATACCTTCTTATGATCTCTGCAGATACCAGGCATGCACATGAATGGCGCACATATATTCACGCAGGCAAAACACTCAGAAATTTTACAAAAGAGTTGGGAGTTAGGTGGGCTAGGAGCCTGTAACCCTAGCACCCAGGAAGACAGAAGCGGGGGGTGGGGGGTGGGGTGGGGTGGGGGGGCACTCGCCTGGTCTGTATATATTGAGTCCATATATATCCAGGCCAGCCAAGGACACACAGGGAAACCTATTTCAAAACAACTAACAAACAAAAGACAAAAACTAATGAAGGTAGGGCTGGGACATGGGCAGGGTAAAAACACGCAAGCTGAATTCCAATGACTGCTACTCAGGAAAGCAAGCTGGAGGTGCTAGGGGGTCACCCAAATTCTAAGCTTAGGAAGGCCAGAGGCCAAACAATTCCAATCGGAGAAAGCAGAAGGGTGGCCCGGTCAGTAGAGCCCTGAAGTAGCCCGGGGAGGAGATGAGGCAGGGCCTCCTTGAAAAAGGCTCTTGGTCAGCCAGGGATGGACACACAGAGCGGATGGGACAGGCTGTGAGCATCACAGGACACCCCAGAGAACAGACCTTGTGTCTGTCCTGGGAGTGTGGCTGGGCCTAGGTGAACACCTTGGTGTGGGCTGTCTCCCACTGGACCAGGAATGCCTCAGGAACAAGTTCTGACTCTTGAGCAACTGCCCCGGGGCCTTGGGGTGATCTAGCAAAGCTGCCCAACAGCTGACGAGCCCAGACCTCAGATGAAGGTGACCAATTGCCTCAGTTTACCTCAGGTGCTCTCCCAAGACGAGGCTTTCAGTTCTAAAACTTCTCTGTTTTAGTGCTGGGCAAACTGGGAGGAGCTGGTCCCCTGCTGTCCCTGTTGGAGCAGCAAGGCTCAGTCCCTGCCCTGCCCCCCCCCGCCCCCCCCCGCCCAGTTCCTGTTCCTTTGAACACTCACCTCAGAGCCAGAAGGGCTCAGGGACCTTAGACCCTTTCAAGAAAATGTGTCTCAACTCTGACAGAAGCTTCCTGGCCACATTTCAAAATCTAGGAACGATTCAAGCAGGTGGCAATGATGCCACTCAGACTCTGCTGTTCTCAGATGAGTCTCATTCCCAGCTCCACACCACCCTTTCAAGCACGGCTTCCTAACGGCACCACTCCGCATGCTCGGCTAACGGGCCCTGCTGGGTGACCCCGGGCCTGGCCCCGCTCCCTCCTGCCCCGCCTCTTGCCCTGCCATCTGCCTGGAGGGCTCCCTTCAGGCAGGTTCTCCTGCTTGAAGCGCAGCAGCCTCACAGGGTACCAACCGTCCCCTCTCCAAGTCTCACATACACAACACACTCCTGACTCATCCCAACTAGCTTCCAAAGGCTCTTCAGGTCAGACCTCTCCACCTCACACTGGCCTCGACCTCACAGGGTAGGCTTCCTATCAGATCCCCGTCTTTAGATTCTGGCCATCCAGCCTGGCAGTGGTGGCGCACACCTTTAGTCCCAGCACTCAGAAGGCAGAGGCAGGTGGATCTCTGTGAGTTTGAGGAGGCCAGCCTGGGCTACAGAGTAAGTTTCAGGACAGCCAGAGCTCACAGAGAAGCCTTGTCTTGAAAAGAAAAAAAAAAGGTTCAAAGCAACCAGGCGGTGGTGGTGCATGCTTTTAATCCCAGCACTCGGGAGGCAGAGGCAGGTGGATCTGAGTTCAAGGCCAGCCTGGTCTACAGAGTGAGTTCTAGGGCAGGCAGCCAGGGCTACACAGAGAAACCCTGTGTTGGAAAAAAAAAGAAAGAAAGGAAGGAAGGAAGGAAGGAAGGAAGGAAGGAAGGAAGGAAGAAAAAGACTCTTGTCATCCATTTGGCTGCCAGGAGGCATTGTATAGAGCCGGCATTTAACTGCATGAACCCACCCTGTCCTCCCTGGGAGACACCAAAACCTCTCACATGTCCCCAGTGCAGCAAATAGAGCTCCCGGAGGCTCCCATTCATTCCTCATCCATCCTTCCGTCCACCCCTTCCTTCAGCTAACACCACTGAGCTTCCTGCACGGTGATAAGGTAAACCAGACACCCATGTCTTCATCTCCCTTGCCTGAACACCCCAGCGGAGAACAATTTCATCATGACCACCACATAGCCCCGTGGGAATGTCATAGAAGGTCTAGCCCAGGATACAGCACATTAAAGTGGAGATAAAGGATGGAGGGGGTGTGTCCCTGCTGCCATCCCGAAACACAAAGCCCGGGGGTGGGAAGAGGGCCCCCTACTCCCTCCCTCTCTTCAACCCTTGGCCCTGTGACCCCTTGCTTGGAGTCTACATTTACACATCTGGGGTCACCCTCTGCAGATGTGAAGATCTGTGGGGAAAACAGTGGACAGTGCTGGACACACAGACCCCAGCTCTCCCTAAACATGGGGATTACTGTTGTTACTGGTCAAGCAGCTCGGGAGCCAGGGGATTCCAGGCAGCCAGACACGGAGGCCTGGCTGAGCTGCACACTAATCCTGCTTCAGGATTAGCCTGACTGAAGTGGCCGTGAACCCAGAGGCTGCTGAGCAGCCCAGGTCATACACTGAGGAGATGCATGGGGAGGCCAGAGCCGTGCAAAGGGGAAGGAAGCTTCTAGAGAAAGACCACGGGTGTGGTTGCTCCACCCCCATGCTCCACCCCCTTCCTGGGCCGAGGCGGAGGCAAAGCTGAGAGGTATCCTCTCCAGGGCCCTCCCCAGCCGCTCCAGAATCAGCAAAACAATTCCTGGGGATGGATGTGGCTGGGCTCTGACATTTACAGGTCACTAGATCTCACCAGGCCAGCTAGGCGGTTAAAAGCCTGTGTGTGTACAGCCTTCTTAGGGCAAGGAGCCAGCCATGACCGGAAACCCTGGAGGTGTGCAAACATCCGAGGCACTTCTCAGCAGGAAGGAGCTGGGGTGGGGCCAGCTGAGATGCAGGTCCTGGCCCTGGGCAGACAGCTCTCTCCTCCGGGGGAATAAAGGGCTAGCCACTCAGAGGCCTGGGAGGGCAGGTTCTTTTCTGGGCTCCCAGAGTTCCCTCCTCCATGCTTTCACCTCGGTAGACAGACCCCTTCCTTCCTCACATAGCATCTAGGGCTTGGCCTGACCTCTAGGATAAACCAGTCCATGCTCCATGCTGCTGCCCCCCAGCCTGGTCCCCTGCCCAGGCCTATGCCTCCCTCTTTGCTCATACACCACCTCCCTCAGAGCCCGCCCCCGCCCCCCACCCCCCTCACCCCCGCCAGCCCCAAGTGCCGTGCCTCTTCCCTAACATCCTTTTTATTTGTTTACTGTCTTTCTTGTACCCTGGAATGTCCCCTCGACCTCCATGAGGACAGATTACTGTCAGTCTCCTTCATTCCCTGTCCCCAGCATCTGGAATAGCTCATGGCGCACAGCAGGGGTTCAATAAATGTTTCATGATTGAATGAGTAAAGAGTACACGAACATTTAGCCCAGTGTTGGGGAGCATGCCTAGAATCCTAGCACTTAGGAGGTGAAGGCAGACAGATCAGAAATGAAGGCCATCCTCAGCTACATGGTGAGTTCAAGGCCAGCCTAGACTTCATGCTACCTTGTGTGTGTGGGGGATATGAACACCTAAGAGTGGGCTCAGGCCAACCGCTGCCTGGAGGTGCATCACAGGTCTTGACTAACTGTGCGCTCTTTTTTTTGCTAGGTCCCCCCCCCCCTCCCCAGACAGGATCTCACTATGTAGCTCTGGCTGTCCTGGAACTCCCTTTGTAGAACAAGCTGTCCTGGAATGTGCAGAAATCTGCCTGCCTCTGTCTCTGGGATTAAAGGCACACACCACCACCACCACCACCACCACCACCACCACCACCACCACCGCCTGGCTTCGGCTGTGTGATCCTGAACCATGTACTTACACTCTCTGTGTCTCCTTTCAATGAATGAACAGGAACAGAGTAATAACACTGACCCCACAGGCTAATGGTCTATCAGTAGTCACACATGCAAGGGCAGCTCAAAGCGCGGCCCTGCACCCTGGATGCCAGCATTTCTTGATTACTTACTCACCTGCTTGCTCATCGGCCTCCCTCTACTACAGGTCAGCCCCAGCCTGCCTTGCTCAGGGCTCAATTCCTTAATTCCTAGCAAAGGGCTGTAGGAGGGAAAACCAGGCCTCCTTTCACGTCTGTCCAGGGAGTGGGGCTGGGGAGCTGGCACGGGCTGGGAGTAAGAGCCTCACCAATCTGCTTCTCCAGGGCGGCTGCTTCACAGATGGTCGCCCGGGGTAGGATGCCAGGGTCAGTGAAACTGGTCTGCAGGAGGCAGCTCATGACGAAGAAGAAGAGGATGGCAGCGATGATGGGGATGGCCAGGGTCAGCTCGCGGGCCAGGTAGGGACAGCTAGGAGAGAAGAGATGCAGATTACCCAGGGCTCCCGGGGACCTCGTTCCTGAAAAGAGCCTCTCCCTGAGGGCAGGGGAGGTGAGTGCAGCCCCTCCCCGTAAGTGTCCAGAGCAGACATTACTAGTTAATCCTGGACCTTTTCCAATGTCAGATGAGGTCAATAGATACTCTCCCTCACCCGACGCTGGCAGGCAGGTCCCTCTTCCTCCATCCCTTCCTTCCAACAGGAACTTGCTAGATAGCCCAAATTGGCCTGAAACTTTCTAAGCTGGCCTTGAACTCTTGATTTTACTGCTTCCACCTCCTGAATACACACACACACACACACACACACACACACACACACACCACCATACCTAGCCTTCAATTTTTTTTTTTGTGGCAGCAAAAAACAAAAAACAAACCCAGGCCACTGAGATGGTTCAGCATATAATGTTTGCTCTCCAGCTCGATGGCCTGAGTGTGGTACTGGAACCCACAGGATGACAGAAGAAGAGTGACTCACAAGGTGTCCTATTGGTCACATGCACACCATGGCAACACATATGCATACATACACAAAATAAATAAAATCCACCAGCGGTGGTGGCGCACGCCTTTAATCCCAGCACTCTAGAGGCAGAGGCAGGCAGATCTCTGTGAGTTCAAAGCCAATCTGATCTACAAAGCGAGTTCCAGGACAGCCAGGGCTGTTACACAGAGAAAAATCTGTCTGGAAAAAACAAACAACAACAAAGTAAATAAAATGTAATTAAAAACCAAAGAGAGAGACAAAGAGACAGAGATGGAAACAGAGAAGGACAGGGGCTTCTTGGGCTCGCTCTAAACCCCTGGACCCAAGGCATCTTCCTACTAAGAGTTGGGGCCGCAGGTGAACACAACACTGTGTCCAGCTCAGTACCCAGCATTTTAGTATTTCCTGTCTATGGATAGTGTTTTGCTTGTATGCATGTCTGTGCACCATGTGCATGCCTGGTGCTTGAAGAGGCCAGAAGAAGACACTGGATGCCCTGGAACGGTAGTCAGAGATGGCTGTGACCATGTGGGTGCTAGGATTGAACCCGAGGCCTCTGGAAGAGCGGCTAGTGCTTTTAATCACTCTCCAGACCTATCCCAGCACTTAGCTGCAGCCTCAGCTCTCAGTCCTTTTAGTAGACACAGAACTTCAGGAAGCCATTGCCAATTAAGGGGGCTGCTACTTGAGATGACCATCCATGGCAATGTTGCAATGTCATTCATTCATTCATTCACTCACTCACTCACTCAGAAAGCTTCTCTACAAATATTTACTGAGTTCTTTTTTGTGCCAGGCAACACTCTCAATAAACAGCAGGAATCGTGGCTATGACCATGACGAGAGTCTCTGCCGTGTGGCTTATGGTCGACTGGGGAAGAGAGCCCCACAAACAGGGAACTGCCACACGTGGTGACGTGTACTGCAAACAAAAGATCCCTGAAGGAGATGATACTGCAGCCACACCCAGAAGGAGGAGGAGAGGGCTAAGGAAAGCAGCATGCCCCTGCCCCTGCCACCCTAGACACTAACTCCAGGCTGATCCAGGATGGTTCCAGAAACAGCTTGTGGGATGCCCTGCTCCTCCCTCCCAGCAGGCAGGCTGCCCACCACAAGCTTCCGAGTGCCTCCTGAAGCTCTCACTTCCATTTTAGGGCTGTAATGGTCGGGGGCATGGCTTCAGGATAAAGTGGACCTACTGGGGCGCGCTATGGCCGGTCTTCTTTGTCACTCTGCGGTCCACTCCAAAGCCAACCACCTTCTGCAAATGGAAATCAATCTTGTCAGGTCCCTGCCTGAGACCCTCTGATGGCTTCAGATGGGATCCAGACTCTCCATCAGCCTACTAGGCCAGCCTTGTCCTGAGATTTGCTGAGGTTCCCCTGCCTCAACCTACAAACTCTCCTCACCCCCTCTACCCAACATCACACCGGCAGTTTCTACACAGCCGTGACTCTTTCCTACCTCAGGGTCTTTGCACTCACTGCTCATTTCCTCTGGAATGTTCTTCCTCCTCAGAGGACCTTCCTTGACAGTTCACACAAAGCAGTCCTCCCCCAGGACTATTTTCTGTACAGCATTTATTAAAAATGTTAGCTGTGGGGACTAGAGATGGCTTGGCAGTTATAATCACTTCCTCCTCCCCCCCCCAGAGGACCTAGGTTCAGCTGTCAGCATCCTCATGATAGATAGCTCACGACCATCCCTAATACCCGTTCCAGGGGATCCAATGCCCCCTTCTGAACTCCCCACGTGGTACACGTATATACATGCAGATAAAACACTCAAAGACATAAAATAAACAAGCCGGGCTGTGGTGACGCACACCTTTGATTCCTGTGCTCAGGAGGCAGAGGCAGGCGGATTTCTGTGTGTTCGAGGCCAGCCTGGTCTACAGAGTGAGCAGCCAGGCTACACAAACAAACCCTGGCTCAAAACAAACAAACAAAAATTAACTAATTTAGGGAATGGCAGCGCACCCCTTTAATCCCAGCACTCTGAAGGCAGAAGCAGACAGAGCTCTGAATTTGAGGCCAGTTTGGTCTATACATTGAGTTCCAGGCTAGCCAGGACCATAGAGTAAGATCTCATCTAAAAAAAAAGTTCACTGCTTGTGTGGCTGTTACCTGCCTTTGTCCTGTTAAGTGACAAGCTTCTCTGTGGACACAGACAGCATCCCTCACATGTTACTCAGGAAATATCTACCATATAAATGGTGCACCCCTCATGGAGAGAAAGTACCTCCCATATATTTTATTTTTCAGTACTACGGACCAAACCCATTGCCTTGTACATGCTAGGAAAGCACTTGGCCTTTCTGCTGTCTCCAGCCCTAACACCTGACACCTTCTGAAGATTTACTATATGCTAGATACTGCCCTAGTCAATAAGTCATTATAATTAATACCTACAGGCTGGGGATACAGCTCAGTGGCAGAACACTCTCTACCATGCACAAAGCCCCGAGTTCAATCCCCAGCAGTCCCCATAGCACAAAGTAATAATAACAATAGTCATGATGACAATATCAAATACATGCCAATATCATGGCATTTGAGAGGCTGAGAAAGGAGAATCCTGAGAATTTGAAGCCCATCTGGGCTACAGAGGGAATGCTATCTTAAAAACATTAATTCTGTGGGGGCACAGTGGGGCATGCCTTTAATCTCAGTCAGCACTCGGAGACACAGGCAGGTGGGTCTATGTGAGTTCAAGGCCAGCTAGGATTACACAGTGAGACCCTGTTTCAAAATTAACTAATCAATTAAATGCCTGACGTACATAACAATCACCATGTGCGAGACACGCTGCTGAGCACTGTACAGGCATTCTCGTCTTCACGGTGACCCTCTAACCTTATGCCCCAAACTTCACACATGAGGAAGTTGAGAAAGCTTAAACAACCTAGACAGCACAGGTCAGGAGTGTTCACGTGACCGAGAAGTTCACGCTGACCAACGGCAGCCAGCTGCTGCCTTTCCACTGGAGCCAGAGGGGCTGTGGTGGGTGGGGTCGCTGCTTGGGCACTGCATCTGCTGGGAGGCTTGGGGCCAGAGCATGTGAACACTGCTTCTGAAGCCTGCAGCGGCCTGCCCCTAAGGACCAGAGCCTGCCAAAGCCAAGGGCTCCAAGTGGGCCACCCTCTGCTCACTCATCTCTTCATGTCTAAGCCTCCAAAAGAACCAGCCCCTCTCAGTGTCAGTGTGGACGGACAGCTCACCTAGTTCATGTACAAGGCGAAGGCGAGCCTGGGGAACAAAGCCTGGGACTTGTAGAGCCCTTGGGAGACACCAACACCAAGTCCTAGGCTCTGAGTTCCACAGCTGGATTCAAGGTCATCCAGCCAGGATGCCAATTACAAGCTGGATCTCAAGACTCTCAGCAAGTGATGTGACCATTCATTCATCCAACCAGAATCTCCTGTGCACTGGCTCCAGGTACCAAATATACAGCAGTGTGGATATTTACTATGCTCACGGAAAAGACAAGCACAAAATGACCAAACGTGTGTGTGTGTGTGTGTGTGTGTGTGTGTGTGTGTGTGTGTGTGTGTGTTAGCAGAAGGGGAAACAGTGAAAAGAATGAGTGAACCATGAGGGTGCTCCAAACAGTGCCCAGGCCCTGAGGCAGCAGGTCAATGAGCTTGAGAGGCTAACTCCGCAGAGAGAACTGAGCCGGAGGACTAAGAGCGAGCAGAGGCCATTATCAGAGCTCTGGCTCTCACGGAGAGGGAGAAGCAGGGAGCCTGAAATCTGGTGTCAAGGGGCCGTGGCTGCTGTGTAACGTGGGAAGTGGGGTAGAAGCGGGGAGCCCTGCCTGCTGGGAAGCTGTGTCACAACCCTCCAAACGGGGAAGCAAAACCAGCGGGAAGGGTCTCCCCCAAGAGTAACCCGAACCTTCCCCAGTCTCAGCAGTGAGCGCCTCCTACCATCCCTGTCCTCACTAAAGCCTGTCCACCGCTCTGGCTCCTCTTTGGAGTCCTCCAAGCCCCCAACACCCAGCAGGACTATGGGATGTAACCCAGCCCTGCCCCCAAAGTCACCACCCAAGAGTGAGAACAAGAGATGAAGGCCAAGTTGACTGATGGTCGGTCCTCCCTTCCTCCTAGGCTGGGAACAGCTCAGGACCGCCATGAAGACATTCATCAGAAGTTCACGCTCTGAAGCGTGATCCAAATCTTACACTGAAGGGTCACAGAGCAACTACAGCCAGCATTGCTTCCTCCTGCCTGGGCCATAACCCTGGGCCTGAGCACCACGGAGAGTGGCCCGAGGGCTCTGGAAAAAGCATTTCTACAGCACCCAAGAGGCATTAGTAAGGTGGAAATGAAACTTGGTTGTCTAAGGGCCACGCTGGGGGCCCAGCGCTTCTCTGTGTAAACCACTCCGGACCTTTCCCCATCCTGACCCAGTATGAAACGCAGAGCATTTGGGGGGACAGTGGGAAAGAAGGAAGCCTTCACCTTGCGGTTGCAGACACACAATCCACGTCCTGGAAAGTGACCTGAGAACTGATCTTTCAGAAAACCGCATGCCCCCCAGGAAGTGATTTTTGGCAAACAGAGAATTAATAGCTGCCAACATCAAGTGCTAAAAGCTTGCATGCAAAAGAATAAATAAATGATAAATAAATTTGAAAAAAGCTGAAAGCTCACATGCATGACTGGGTATTAATCTCAATAAAGCCTTCGGAGGTGGGTCCCCATTCTGTCGAGGAGGAAGTGGGGAGGGGGTGGGTGAAGTGATTGCCCCAGGCCACACAACTAGTGGGAGGTGGAGCTAGGCTAGCTTCCCTGGCTCCAGAGTCGGAGGTCTTAACTAGGCTCAACCCCAAAGAACAGAGAGAAGCAGGAGGGGAAGATGGGGCTCACCCGGTGGGTGTGCATGCGTGTGTGGGTGTGGGGGGTGCGTGCAAAAAGTCACATGGCTGGTGTGGTGGCTCCAGCTAGAGGCTGAGGGTGGGGTGGGAACTTTGGATGCATGAGTGGCCCTGATAAAGCCCTAAGCAGCCAGTCCTCCATCCTTGGGTCCTAGGATGGAGATGCCGTGTAGGCCAGCCCTGGGTCACTAGAAAAAAGGTCAAGGGCCCGTAAGGGCAATAAAGACCTGTCATGTGAAAGTGCTAAGGTCTCTTTCGTGAAAAGGAGTGGTGCAGCTGTCTGGGTGGGGGAATGGACCGACGGACGCTCCAGAGTGTCCAGAGGGGCAAGAGAGCCAGGTCAAGGTTGGAGAGACACCTGGGGTTCTAGGAAGGTACGGGAGGGTCAGGAAGCAGCTCCGGAGAAACTAAGGGAAGCGCCGGAGAGGGAAGGGCCAGTCTAAGAGGCCCAGAGATGCTTTAGAAAGGATGCCTTGGGGCCTAGGGCGAGCGTGACTGAGGGAAAGCGGGGGTGGGGGACAGTCTGAGGGAGCCAGGACCCTGCAGAACCTTGGAGGGACTTGAGAAGCCGCCTAGGAGATGCGAGGTGTCCACAGCCAAGGGACACAAAAACTTAGTTGTCTGAGGATAGGCATAAAAGACGCCTAGAGGGGTCAGAATGAGCCTGGGATAGGCAAGAACCGGCCAAGGCTAGGGGGGCAGGCGGACCTGAGGGACCCGGCAAAGGCCGGTGACCGGGGCCGGGCACCCCAAGTCCGGGTGGCGAGGAGGGGTGCGGGGGTCCAGGGCGGGCGGAGGCCCGACGGTACACGGCCGCGGGCCGGGAAGGAGCGGCGGCCGGGGGCCACAGCGCACGCAGCGGGGATGGGGGGCACTCACTCGAAGAAGAAGAAGAGGACGGTGGTGCTGAGGATGAGCAGCAGCGTGAGCGCGAAGACGCCGCCGTGGCCGGCCAGCATGAGGCGGCCGCCGCAGTAGAAGCGGTTGCGGCCCGGGAACACCTCCCAC